ATTAGCAACATCCTCACATACTACTGTAAGTTGAGTCAATTTAAATTCATTTTACACCTTTGTTGCTACTGTTATCATTGTAATTGCAGCTCCTGATGATGATGGCAAAGTCCATTGAAAGCTAGAGAGAATTAAAAAAAGTATAAAGAGTCCTCTTTGCTTAAATCTTGTCGAAGTACCCAACAAAAGGCGTAAGCTTTAATTTTTCACCTAACTGGTCTAGACGACAATGACCACGTCTCAAGTTATATATATATATATATATATATATATATATATATATTATAACATATGTCGCCCAAGAACAGCTCTTTTCAACCAGCCAAAGTTTCTTGAAATCTGCTCTGCTGTTTCGAAGATACAGTGTGTTTTTCTCGGAAATCTTTGAATATCCCCCACCACTTTATTTACAGAGATAGGTACAGCAAAAATTGTCAAACAAAAAAGGTTCAGATTATCGTCAAATTAAAATATCACAGAAACTAGCCCCCCCCCTTCAAACTTTTGAGTGATACCAACCTTTTTTGGATATTTGTCGTATCTATTTTCTGGCCCCTCATTGATGATTAAATCTAACAAGGATTGAAACAAAATAAGCAAAAATCGAACAAACCAACTTCGGACACGGTGAAAATCAAAAAGAAAATGGGATAGTGACAACATTAATAGTTATAACACATAGACTTTGTAAAATGAAGTTTCGGTCATAAGCATGAGAATTAAAAGTTACGAACTTCAAGGCCATCCCACTATGATTATGATTTTATAAGTTGTATGAACGCGTTCACAAGAAATACCTATTTCAATTCTTTTGCTTATGACTATGACTATTAAAACTATGTATAAACCCGCCACTAGTTCTTGAGTTACGAGCTGTTCAATATACAAAAATGCTCGACCAGTCGCCGATTTTGAAAGATAGTGATTTTTTATTCTAAGGTTATAAAGTACTCATATATGCTTCTAAATACGGTATCACACGACCTGTCATTCCATTTAAAAAATGTTACATGATGGCTCCCTTCCGCCATTTTGAAATTTTCTATATCATTTTCACTTTAATGTGCTAACTTAACCCATTCAAAACAAAAGTAGGGCGAGGACTTCTTTGAAAAGCACTGTATATCTTTCAATTGCAACGAAAGCATAAAACAATGCCGAATGACTCGAGACTTCCGGATCGTTATCCCTAGTCGGTCAGCGATTTGGATCATCATTCATTTCAGTGTGACGCGATATGAAACATCAACCGTCAAATTTAATAAATTGAGGGAGAAAAGACGTTTTCCATTTAGGTTTCACTGACAGGAAGTTAGGACGGATTGATTTTCGCTGTTTTCGTTTCCTACTAGTTTCGATCCGCAGAACTTATACTCTGGCATCTAGAGAATGCAAAATAAAAGATATCCAGAAAAATTAGAGACCTCGCTAGGGACCGGGGATAGGTTTAGTAACACTAAGAATTTTATCGACAAAATGGCCTCGAGTAGGTTAACTCTGCACTTCCCAGGCAACGCCGTCATCATTTCTTGAATGATTAATTTAAATCATCCGAGAAAACAGTCAATTACAAACATGTACAACAGATACATTAAACGGATTGCGTCAGTCAAACAAGGTCATACAATTAGTCCATAGACATTCTTTCCCTGTCCTACCGGGCAACATCCCTTTCCACATCCACGCGACATCGCTGCAGCGATTTATCGGATGGATTAGTCAGCCGGACAGGTTCCCTGGGCGGTGAGCTTTGATACCAGGAGTACGCGGATCGAAAACGTCTATCATTCATTTAAGTTTTAAGGCAAAAGTACAGGGAAATCTATGTGTGAAATATGGCCAATAGGTGCATAGAATTGCCTGAGTTTGGAGCATATAAATATACTAAGATCACAAAAAAACATACAGCAATTCATATAGACCCCCGCCACCACCTTCAATCCCTGCCCACCGAATTTAAACGTTATATTTTTTTCTGGGAATGATGAGAACCCTCTGAAACGTCAAAAAATGAAAATTGAGTTATTTTTATTTTTATCGTTTTAGGATTTTTTCTCCGTCGTCACTGGACCGATTTTCGTCCTTGACATCGCAGCAATCTTGTGTAAATTTCATCAAAATCCGAACAGTACTTCTCAAGTTATAGACGGACCGAGGATTAGCGGACAAACAGACAGACTGACAGAAATGAGTGACATAATATATGTCATATAGCACCCAAAAACACAACATCTCATTCTCAGTGGTAAAGTAGAAGTAAAAAGACATCACAAAGTACCATAGATTCCCAGAATCGACCACCGCGAGATTGAGGTACAGCAAGCTTGGAACTGTTTACATTGACAGCCGGATCCCCACTGTGGCCGCTTGATGCCGCCCATTCTGGTGTTACGAGTATAGTAGATACGGTCTACTTACCAAGAATTTGCTCACTAGCGAAATCTGAAAACTTACCTGAGCAAATTCAATAGTGTATGATCACTTGGTCAATAATTTTGAACCGTAAAAACATTTTAGGCACTTCGTGCAGTGGTACAGCTGGCGACATTAGCCGATAACTGCAGCTACGACAAAGAAGCTTTGCGTTATTGTCGCTTTTGATGTTAGAACGGGTTCAACACGACACAATGGCAGAAAAATATTGTATCTCTCAAGAAGCTAGCCAACCCTAGCCAACTATTGAACATGGTAGAGATATATATATATATATATATAGAACAAATCTACGTTACAGACAAAAAAATATAATTAATGATATATTTCCATTTCCTTGTAGAAAATGGTGAACTCACGAGAAACAAAAACTCTGCTGTATATGACTCAATTTTGTTACGATGAAATTACACTATTGTTTCAGCTGATATAATGATGAATTATTAATTTCTGTAACCTTGATTTTTCCACTGATATGATTGAAAATAAAAATGAATGGGAATGAGGATTGGAAAGTTGCGGTGGGCTTGATATTTATGGAATAATGGGTTGATGATACGAGGAAAGTATCCAGTGGTATACTATACCGACTCCTAGTGCCAATAAAATTTCACTAAATGAAATACATAGTTACAATATTTAACATCAGTCTTTTTTAAAACCCAAAACAAGGTATTATTTATTAAAATTACCATTTTCTTAACTGCTAACCTAAGACATGTGAAACAAAATGTTTCACCTAATTTTTTTTGACAATACTCAAACAGGTCAGTGGGATGGTCCAAATCTTGGAAAACAATGCTTGTAGATTTAAAAAAAATGTGGACTGCATAAAAAAATTACTACCCCTGAAGTCGAAATTCATGATCTCTTTATATGAAAATTCTTGGGATGATATGTAACAGTTTTTTGTTTTAGCTTGAGCTCCAAGCCACTACACCAATTCTCGAAAATAAAGCAACATTATCTACTACAAGTTTTATCACAATCTATGCAAATGTTTTAGTTAATACACAGCTAAAACAACTCCAATAGAGTGATAAAGAGACAAGACAAACAAAAATCAGCGACAGATTTCAGTAATTTAATAAAGTGCCCAAAACAGGGCTATGTAATGACCAATGACTGAGTAAAAAAATATATATTAAAACAAGATTGGAATGTTTTCTGGGGAGCAAACCACCTATTTCCTGGTATTATCCTGAGTATTTACCCACCATGGTGGTCAAAATGTCACCAGATTATTTCCTGATTTTATTCAAGGGCCAGTACTCATAACATGGAGCTGTTACAACTGTAACGGTTTCAATAGCATAATAAATAATAAGTAAAATGAATTAGTTTGACTTGTTACAGATACAATCTATCATACAATAAGTTAATAACTGAATGCCCATACCCAGTCTTCAAACTTATTTGTTTTTACTCATATGGGTTCTAACAAATACTTCAAAACATGCAAATGCATAGGAGTACAAAATATCTAGAGGTTACTACTGACATTTATTTGAACTATATCTTACTTTTTGATAAACTGGAAAACTCAGTATGGTACATATGAGCAAGGTAGTTAATGATTATGCCATTAGAGCGCTTTATAGGCATTTTTGTTATCATATCAGTACTTAAAATAAGGTGATCATGATTGAAATAAGAGTATCTAGGAAAAATGCAGGACACAAGAAAAGCCTCTCAAAGATTTCCAGATCAGGTTTGAATGGAAAGTACCTATGACATGGAGGTGTAACAGAGATTAGTGCACATGAAATACTTCTACTCAAGGTTTTATAGAACTATGCTAGTTGACTTGCGGGTTCTCATGGCAGAGGGGTAAAACTCAATTAAGTATGTAAATTATTATGACTCATGCCTGTTCTAGTATTTCCCTTACACTGTATTGGAAAAGTAACAGAAAAAATATACTCCTCCACAAAGTTGAATGATTTCAGGCAAGTTCCTTCACCAGGTACAGAGCATAAACACTTACAAGTACCTTGAGTTGAGTGATGTTAATCTGCATATTATTAGGTACCAGATATTGCTGGTTAAGGCCAAATCTAAAAATAGACAGCTTCACCCTCCACTAGAAATGGTGTCCCTGGAGGAATGTCTTTAGAACTTTGTGTATTAAGCTTATTGATAATATTTTCATAAAGGAAAAGTACCATGGTCACCTCAACAACATACTATCACTAACTAGAAAGGTGATTTGTTTGCTATAAGTGGTAATTAAACAAAATTGAATTGCAGGGTTAATTAATATCCATAGCTCAATATAAATACATGTAAGCCTACTTTAATCACCAATATGTATGTAATTACTTTAAAAAAATACTTGTTTGATTCATAAGAAAATGACAGCTACTTAATAGGAGTTGTGATTGTGTTGTTAAGCTGATTTATGAATTTATATCGTGCACTTTTTTAAATTTGCATCAATAAAAGTTAACCTGTAGGGTAGAAACCTGTCGAAAAAATTCCTGATACACCGTAACACATTGAACTGTATAATCAACTTGCAACCTAACTAACAATGACCTGTGTGGATTTCTAATAAAAATACTGACCTTATTTGAGACAAAGAGATGGATCCTAGGGTTGAACCAACAGTTTATAAAACGCGACACAACACTGGATATGTACACGAAAAAATCCATGCAATTTTCATACAGGACAATCAAAAAATCCCATAAAAATAAACACTTCACAACACTAAGCACCGAACGATCAGACAGCCATTTTACTGAAGAACAACTGAGCAACCGAGAGAGAGAGGAGACGAATCGAGATTTCACTCCAGCAATTCCAAAAGTCCCCTACCACTAGACACGTCATTGGATATAAACAAAAAACATAGATATTCAAACATAGGTCGATGTAAATAACAAGAAATAAAATGTTTATACTGTTGCTATGACCTTATAATTTTAAAGAAGTCGAAAGAAATAAACATTTATTTGTTTTCTGGTTTTGGTTTAATTTTTCTTGTGACGTCATAAAGCGGGGTGCTAACTGAGGCGCTAATGTAGGTTCTAGAATTTTCTTGATGATGGCAGCAATGATTGCGCGATGACAGTTAAACGTCATTTGCTGTCAAAAGTGTCAAAACTTACATAACCAAGGTGATTCGTGGGGTTGGAAGTCATCCAGGCTAAAAGATTTTCTTAAAAAATCTGAAAGATGGCCGCGAAAAGAATCGCTCAAAGCTCTATCAACTGGGCAGCCCTTAGTGAAAGGGTCCCCGAGCACCAGCGCAGTAGCTTCTTGGCTTTCAAAGCAAAGTCGGACAACTATCTGAGGCGGTAAGTATGGTGGTTATTCATAATGATGTAATAAATTATCAAACAATTTTTTTCTATGGAAGTCTTTTAGATCCGTTTTGGATTAGAACCTAGTGTTCATTGACGTAGATAGGCACGAACCATGTTGAATCACGGATTTAAAAAGTATTTTCAGTTGTGTCACAATCTCCATTTTTTTATCTATTTTTACATAATACACTTTTTGTTATCAAAATCTTTCTGTTGAACTTCGAACACTTGTCCTGTCCATTATTTTAATCAGTGAAATTGATATATCTCCAGTCTTCTGTAAATGATGGTGTAAAACATCTTAACCCATTCTATGTCATGTGTGTCATCTTGTTTGATTACTGACCAGCAACTATTCCATGAACTGGTTACATTCATTTACACTTACCTGGGTGAAATATAGGCTCAATTGCTAAATATGACTTGCCATAGATTCAATCTGCTGACAACTCAGCACAACCTATTTACATACTGTTGATCAATCTGAAGGTTTTTAAAGTTTTCAATAAGGTTCATTGGTATGACAAATTCCAGATGAGGCTAAATAAAACTTTATGCAGTATTAGCTCTTAGCAGTTAAGTAAAAGCAGAAAGAAGGATATGTGTGTCTTCACTTGTCTCCTTAGTAATTCTACCTCAACTACAGAACACATTCTTACACAAATCCAATCTTTATTTGCCATATTCATCAACCCTGTTTGAGTTAGTTATATATGAGGGTATATTAGCATTAGTTATATTATTGAAGGTATTTGATAAAGTTTGTCCATTGAGAGGTACTAGAATTTTTGATAACCTTTTTATGAAACAAACTTAGAAAAAACACATTTTTGCGTGAATTCAAATAGTTAAGACCTTTGCGAGTCGAAAACAAGAGTAATACCTACAGCAAGAGGTGTCAACTAGCAGTCAGACACCTTAACAACCAGGGCTATTGTATCACTTCGAAAACTTTCTTACACCTTTACATACAGCATGCTGAATACCATTTTTTGTAAATCAGTTAGAATAAAATCAAACACCACCTACTACTCCAAAAAATCATGATGTCATATGAATTCACCTTTGTAAAGTGTATGTAGCCACACTATGGAATGATATAATTTTGAATAGGCAATTTAATAAACTTCAATTCTTTGACACATGGGTTTAATTGCAATGATTAATGTAGATGACAAACATTACAGTGCTTTCTTTGAGAAAAAGTGTTATTTCGGACCCCAAACGTTCCAAAAAGTTTCTTTTTTCTTCAAAGTGTGTATTTTTCATCTGCTTTTCAGTGGTGAGCACCTAATCACAGCTGTCAAAAAACTACAGACTTATTCTAATCATTTATAAGGAAAAACATAGATGTACTCTTGGAGCCACTTTTTTACATGGTTCGTGTAAGAAATTCTGGTATCCCTTTTCATACCTTTTAAACCAAATCCTTAGCAAGAGAATAAGCCCATCATGAGGCCATTTGATTAAAACAATGTTGCTGGACAGCTTGTGAAAAAAAGTCAATATTCTCGAAAAATAATTACAATTGAAAATTTGCAAAAACGGCTGAGTGTTCTTGTATGACTTAATTGATTTTAACGATTAGAAAGGCTTTAATTTTTGGCTATTATTGCAGATTTACCAACATGAGTTTTCCAGTAAAAAAACAAATGCGGAAATCGATGTATTTTGACGATTTTTCATAATAACAGAATGACGGTCACAGAAAGTTGCCCATGCATGGTCTCATTTTGAAAGTATTTTCATCTCCCACAACTTTTTTTGGACTACTTACACCATTAGATCATTGCCATTTGAATATACGCGAAAAGTGTTTTTTTCCACTTTGACGTGTAATTAAAAACTTAAAAAGCCCAAATTTTGATATCTCGAATTTTGTTGTAAAACAACTTTTTACAATTCTTTGCTCTCACTTACGTGAAGATGAGGGAGTTTAAAACTTTTGAAATCTGAAGCATGTTTGAAGTATTGAAGTAATGAAATCAAGTAGCACAACATATATCTAACACAAAATGTAATTTATTTTATTTAAATATAATAGGTATTTCTAATTCTCATTTTCATTGGATTTTTAATTAACTATATGTAGTGCTGTATTAATATGGAGTAGCACAGTGACCTTTAATTGTGAATTTATGCTATAAGGCTCTTTTTTATAATATATGTATAACATTTTGATGCAGAGTACTTGCCAATCCTGAGAAACCACCAGCAATCGATTGGTCATTCTACAAGCAAAAGGTTCCAGTGGCTGGAATGGTTGAAGAATTTCAGAAACAATACTCTGCTTTGAACATCCCTTATCCTCCAGATACTGTTCAATCCCAGCTTGAGGCTCAGGACAAGGAGATTAAATCCGACATCGAAAAGTTCAAAGCTGAATCCAATTCTCGCATTGCAGAGTAAGTTTTAACATATTTTGTGACATTACTAGTGTCTGTCAACAACCGTTGCATTATACCGACTTTAGTTACAATTTAAACTTTACAAAATACCTTTTCTGACATTTTTTTATTTTTGGATCACTTGAAATGGGTCGATCTACTTGACATCATTTTTTTTTGTTTTTCGAAATAGTTTGCCTTTAGAGAGGAAAAACCAAAGACAACCCGGATATCGATTATATAGTACTTCATTCATTTTGAATTTTGATTCTACAAACAAAGATAAAAATTTGTTTTTAGTTTAGTAGTTTTCGTAAATCAGTGATGGTGGAAAAAAGATCAAACACGAAAGAATAAAAATCGCTCAACCTTCGTTTTTTGACGTTGCAGAGGCTCCTGACCATTTTTGGAATTTTTTTTGTAGTGCTTAAAAATTAGTGGTTAGGGGTTGCAGGCGGTGGGGGAGGTTATATCTCAATTTTATTGGTATATTTATATGCCGCCAACCCCAGCACCTGTTAGACATATTCCACTCATCATAGATTACATTTACCCTTACAACTTAGAAATATCTCAAACAGTCGCGTGACGATGCGTCCGCCGTGGTCCAGCTGATGGTCGTACGTCGCAGTCACTTCCGTGCTGTTGTGGGCTATATATCGTAAAACTCATTATCGTGATCCACGCGGGATTAGTCGTAGCTACGATCGTGTGTGCCTGCAGGCATTTCTCTCAGGGGGAGAGCGAGTCTCATTTAATACTTTGTTCTACATGTTCGTAGCTAACTTGTTTCTCAGAAGGGCTAACTTGTGCTGAAAATAATCCTTTAGGAACTGGTAACAGTGTTGATGCCATTTTTTTGTTATAAAAGTCCTGTTTTTAATGATGTTCAAAATTTACAAGTTTTACCAGTCATTTTTTCTATAATCACATAGGTGAATTATGGATAAAAAAGCTCCAATTCCCAATCGTCGTGTCATTATCACAAAAACGGTTTGAGCTACAGATGAATAATGATATCGAAAATTAAACATCGGTACCATGTATCTTTTAACATGCTAGAATTCACTGCGGCACATTTAGCCCAATATGTTTTTCATAAGTATATTTTACGCAAAGGCAAGAAAACAATAAACTCGAAAAATTAATGCAAGCAATCTATTGTAGATATTAAAAATGCAATTTTATATAAGTGAAGAATACCCTATTCTAACCCTCTATTTTCTTTTTGTAGATATAAGAAGCAATTAGCTCATTTGGAGAGTCTGATTCCATACGACCAAATGACCATGGAAGACTACCGCGACGCTTTCCCTGACGAGGCGTTGGACCCTATCAACAGACCAACATTCTGGCCCCACAACAAGGAGGAGCAGCTAGACTATGTTTCCAAGGATGCACCATCCTCCCATTAGTTGTTTTGATGTGAATAGTCATAGTTATACGTTTTGTCTTGGCAAATTTAGCAACATTTTATGTTTACAATAAAAGTTATCTACGTCATCATGGTCGCAGAAATTATTTTATAGATGTTTTTGTTGATGTTTGAACACTTTATGTTATTATAAATTGTACTGTGAGACTATAAAAAAAAGAAGTTTAGCGAGGAGAAGATGCATTTGATCCAGGAACTAAACAAATTTAAGGTTATCATTGTAAATAAAAACAGATATATGCCCTATTTCACGAGTATTCATCTCGCTTTGACGTCTAATGAGGCTGATCAGCATGTGACATTTTTGTGTCTGCAGCGTTGGCAATAATGAATCGGGTATAAATCTAGTAAAACTTGTTTCTGGCGTTTTGTTTTTTGTATACAAAAGTACTTTTCTTAATAAACGAGCTGTTAGCAAGTAGAAAATTAATCTGTAGCGTACAAAAAAACAAAATCTGGCTCTGTCTACCTGGTGTTGACAGGTCCGTCAGAAGTATGTCCTATGCCGATATGGGAAATTTTGAAGTATTATTAGACAACCAGCTGTCATTCTACCGTGATTGAAACCAACATCGCAGTAAGCATCTTCACTATGAACATAGAGTAACGGTAGTCTCTTTCCTGCTCTAAGTATCGCAACCGTGCTGAATCATACCTAGTAAGTTGTAAGGGCAAATGTGCGGGGAAATCTTGATCTGTGAAATATACCGAGTGACAGAAAAAGGTAAACACCTACGTATGTTTTTAAGAATTAAAGAATTTTTTACATATCGATTTATCTTGCCATGGACAAGTGATAAAATGGTCAGGTTTTTATGGTGGCTGCGTGTATTGTTCGGTGATAAAGAAGCATTCAGTTTTCGTACATTTACGGTGTCAGTTGAATGTTAAATTTTGTGTAGCTTATTGAGAATCCTTTTTGTGATTGCTCAAAATACCTAGAGTGCCTAGAATTCGCCGGTTGTCGCAGCTAAGTGACTTTGAGAGGGGACGAATTGTCGGGTTGCGTGAAGCGCGATAAGAGAAATTTCTAGGAGGACCAACGCATCCTTATGCAGTATACTGCAGTGTGAACGATGAGCGTGGACTCAGGAAGGCCGAGGACAGCGAGCGAGGTGTTCTGGACGTCCGACAGGGACCACAGAGCGACAAGACCGCTGGTTAAGACTTCTGGCTCTGAGAGTCAGATTCTGTAGTATTCAAGCCAACGCTAATCAGTGATTTGAAGAGCATGGAAGGATGGTTTGGATGCGTACGGTATATCGCCGAATACGACAGTTAAGCTGTTTTTTCTGATCGCCCACATTGCGTGCTACCTCTCACAACTGAACATCGGCGTAACCGTTTGATCTGATGTAGAGAAAGAATTCTATGGGACCGGGCATGGAATCAGGTGGTCTTTAGTGACGAATCCCACTTCTGTCTGGGGATGCACCAAGGTCGGGCAAGAGTGAGAACGTGGTGGAAGACGTGACCCACAATTTAACAGAGAGCGTCACGTTCACCATATTGTGGGAGTTATGGTATGGGGTGCTACTGCTTATGGTAGCAGATCAGCACTAATTTTTATCAGAGGCAATATGACAGCGCGACGCTATATTCAGGAAGTAGTGGAGCCTCATCTTATTCCATACCTAAACACCATCCAAAACCCGATTTTTCAGCAAGACAATGCAGACCGCATGTTGCCAGAACATCGTTAGCCTTCATGGATTAACATCGCATCAACCGTTTACCTTGGCTACCACGATCGCCTGACCTATCTTCAATTGAACATGTCTAGGACATGATAGCTGGCAGGCTCTTGAATTTGCAACACCCTCCACAGATTTTAGCAGCTCTTACTCACGAATTTGCAGTAGCCTGGAATGAAATACCCCAACAGGATATCGACCACCTTATTAGTAGGATGCCCAGGCGTGTCAATGAGCTTCTGCAGTCAGTTGACGAATCAAGCTGACAATTTAATCATTTTACTGGTAAGGGACACTGAACATATATGCCAAAAATCATCACTTTTTTAGATTCAAGATTGCAGTTGCGCCCCTAGCAGAAACTTGAAAATGTTGTCCAGGTTTTTCTCTTGGCCATTTTAGTAATAACTGTTTTTGTCGCAAGCCTCTACGATGGATAGGTTACCTAGCCACCTTGTACATGTATAACATTCAAAAAAGATACTCTCAGTTTCGAAAATTTTCGCGATTACAGTACCTCCCCGCCAGTAAGCGTGGGAAGTAAAACACCTTTTCACATTCTTGTTGAATAAAAAGTTTTCCCACAAAAATGGGTGTACCCATGCGATCATGTTTTGAATACCGTCCTGAGCAACTTGCATTGCTAAAACCAAAACATTACAATTATTTGGTAAACCCCGGGAATTTATTAGAATATCATAATTGTTATCAAAGGGAACCCAAATGCCAAGTTACAGGGTTCCTGCTTATGATGACGTAGCGCGTAGCTTGATGATTGCCCTTGATCAAACTTGTACCAGCAGATGGTAGCAGCGGCGACTATAAGTTTGTGGTGCCATCTCTGAGGCAGCAATTAAACTGATAATTTTACCATTATTCATGATACAGGTTTCTTCTCTGTACTTAAGATTGATTGTTATGTTTGTTCACATTTCTTCCAGACGATAGCAGCACCAATACAGTAGTATTGTAGCGTCATCTCAGCGCCTGCTGTTAAAGCTTATAATCACAGCGACTTAGCATCACTAATAATACAGGTTTCTGTTTTCACTACTAATGTTCAACATGTGTTTTCCCTCGTTTTTCCACAAAAGTTAATTTGAAAATTCTTGATTTGGGATTTTAAAACAAACAGTAAATCTAAATGAATGAAGGAACAATGTTTGTATTCCACGCCTCGATTCCACGTAAGGAGACGAAACATATACTAAGTGACATATAAATCCGAACACCCAGTTTAAATGGTTTTATTTTAATAAAAGTTGGTGAATGTATTTATCTTACTGTAAATAACAAGTGAAAAAATTTTCAGCCTTATCAGTTGGACATTCCGGTTTTTATACTGTTATTTTTTTTAATTCACTAACGCTCTAGAAATGAATATTTCAGCCGCTGTAACGAATCAACGTTGGCGGATTTTGGTTCTTGACATCCTTTACGATCGGTTACGATGCCTAGAGTACGGATACCTGTACGATTTCGTCAACTTAGTGAGTTTGATAGGGACCATATAGTGGGACTTCGGGAAGCTGGACTTTCTTTTCGGGCAATTGCAGTTAGAGTGCAAAGAAGTGTAGACACTGTGGTTAGGTGTTGTCAGGCATGGCTTCGAGAAGGCCGTACGCAAAGAGCAAGGGGCACTGGACGCCGCCGTAGAACAACAGACCGTGAAGATCGCCGAATAAGATTATTGGCTTTAAGGGACCGTTTCTCCTCTACCAGGTCCATTGCAAATGAATGGTTTGCAGAACACGGAAGAACTATTGGCATGCGAAGTGTTTACCGACGAATGAGAAGTTTTGGCTTGTTTTCATACCGGCCACACTGGGTCCTCCCTTTAACTCGAGAACACCGACGTAATCGCCTTGAGTGGTGCAGACAACGGTCACTCTGGGATCAGGAGTGGAACAGTATTGTCTTTAGTGACGAGTCTCGATTTTGTTTAGGCATGCACGATGGTCGTGCCAGGGTTAGAAGGCGACGTGGTGAAAGGAGGAATCCACAGTTTTTTGTTGAAAGACATGTTCATCACACTGTTGGAGTTATGGTTTGGGGTGCTATAGCTTATGGTTCCAGGTCACATTTAATCTTCATCAGAGGTAACATGAACGCGCAGCGTTATATCCATGAAGTTCTAGAACCCCATCTTTTACCCTATCTTGACACCCTGGCAGATCCAACTTTCCAACAAGATAATCCCGACCCCATGTTGCAAGAGTCACAATAGACTTCTTTCAACATAATGATGTCACATTGTTACCATGGCCACCAAGATCTCCCGACTTATCCCCAATTGAGCACGTGTGGGATATGATGAGTAGGAGACTGCTCAATTTGCAACGTCCTCCTCAGACTCTAGAAGCACTTCGAGAGGAGTTGGTGGTTGCCTGGAATGAGATATCACAGTAGGACATTGACCACCTGATCAGAAGCATGCCTAGGCGCGTTGGAGAATGCGTAGCACATCAGGGTGCATCCACACATTATTAAAGGTCAAAGGGCTTTAAAGCAGTGCAATCATTTTGAAATTTTTATCATTTACTTATTATGCTTCATTAAGTACTTATACAAAATTTTATTAAAATAAAACCATTTAAACTGGGTGTTCGGATTTATATGTCACTTAGTATATTAGTGAAATCGAGTAAAATGTATTATCTTCCAAATATCGTGTTGTGAAGTGTGAGAATAAAATCATTTGCCAAAAAACGTCCCTTAAGTTAGATTCAGATTCGAATATCATGAAATTACAGTCGACCAGTTCAGTAGCGAGCTATTGCAGGTATGTTAGAAAACTGGCATTTTCACCCCTGAGGGTTGTTTTATGTTACTTATTATCAAATAGGATTTACAAACAAATTATTCTAGATAGTGTCCTCAAATTCGATATTACTAATGGTGGAGTGAACGGAAAAACGAGAACAGTTACTACTTTGACACTCAAAATACCAAAAATGATTTCGTACATGGCGCTCCTACTGTTATGATTATACAGGTAGGTACTACTGATGTGAATACCACATATCTATTAAACTTAATTAGTGTCATACAGTACGAGGGATATCTTTTAAGTTTTGTATATGGAAATAAAACAACACGGTAGGTAGTTTTAAATGACTTTATTGTTTTTCGAAGTATTCTCCACGAAGATTAATACACATCTGCATGCGCTCGAACCAATTTTCGAAGCACTTATTCCACTCGTTTGCTGACAGATCTAAACCGGCATTTTTGAATGCGTCAACTGCTTCTTCTGGTGTAAGTAAAGTAAAAGTAAAGAAATCGTTAGGACTTAGATCGGGACTATGTGGAGGATGATGCAATAATTCCACGTTTTCTTCCGTTAAATACTGCCTTGTTTTTTGGGCTGTGTGCGAGCTTGCATTGTCTTGGTGGAGGATGATTCTTCTTTCGGGGTTGATTTTTCGAAGCTTGGTGATGACTTTTGGCAAACAAATGGTGGTATACCAATCCGCAGTAACAGTTCTTTGCTCATTAAGAGGAGTTGTTGCAATATGACCCGCTTTTGACACAAATGTCGCGACCATCTCTTTCGAAACACTTCGAGAACGGATGACTTTTGTTGGCTTTCCTTCACCTTGCGACATCCAAACAGCCGACTGTCGTTTATTTTCACATCTGCATGCGCTCGAACCAATTTTCGAAGCACTTCCACTCGTTTGCTGACAGATCTAAACCGGCATTTTTGAATGCGTCAACTGCTTCTTCTGG